ACAGAAATAGAATAATCCTAAAATTTATACAGAACCACAGAAGACCCCAAATAGCCAAAACAGCCCTGAGAAAGAAGAACAAAGCTGAAGGTGTCACACCTCCTGATTTCAAGCTGTTACAAAGCTATAGTAATCAAAATTGCATGACCTGGCATAAAAACATTCACATAGGTTAATGGAAAAGGATAGAGAGCCCAGAAACTGACCACCCATATATGGTCAATTAATTTATGACAAAGGAGCCATGAATGTACATTGGGGGCAGTCTCTTCAGCAAATGGACAGCCATATGCGACAGAATGAAGCTGGACTGTCTTACACCACACAAAAAGTAGCTGAAAATGGGTAAAGACTTGAACGTAAGACTGGAAACCATGAAACTCCTAGCAGAAAACATAGGCTCATGGTAAGTACCTTGACATCAGTCTTGGCGCTGGTTTTTGGCTCTGACTCCAAAAGCAAAGGCAACAAAAGCAAACATAAACAAGTAGGACCATATCAAAGTAAAAAGGTTCCGTGAAGCAAAGGAAACCATCAACACTGAAAAGGCAGCTTATAGAATGGGAGAAAAAATGTGCAAATCATGTATCTGATAAGTGGCTAATATCTAAAATACACGAGGAACTAGACCTAACTGTGAGACCTGAAACCATAAAAATCTTTGGTATACTGCTGTTAACCAAACTAAAGATGAATCTCCTTTGGTCTGTGACAGTTTCTCAGTGTTTCTGTGCTTTTCATTTTCTTGACAGTTTTGAAGAGCATTGTATAGAATGTCTCTTAATTTGGCTTCGTCTAGTGTTTTTCTCATGATTAGCCTGGGGTGTGGGGTTTTAGGGGGGAGAATATCACACAGGCAAAGGGCCCTGCCGCACTGCGGGTCACGTTGACCTTCACCACCGAGTTAAGCTGCAGTCTGCCAGGTCTCTCTACTGTGAAGTAACGATTCTTTTCCCTTTCCAGACTCAATTCTTCAGTAGTGAGTTCTTAAGTCCAGCCTACCCCACTCAAGCAGTGCGAGCTAAGTTTTACCTTCTGGAGTGGGGAGTATCTACATATAGATACATTATATGGGATTCTTCTGTAAGGGACATTCACCCCCTTCTCCCCAGTTACTAAGTTAATGCTTACATACATCGGTATGAACTCATGTATATTTATTTTGTACTTTGAGTTATAATTCAAATTATTATTTATTTTTGCTTTATTATTTTGCACAAATTGTTCTAGCTTTGGTCATTGGGATCTCTTTTGGGTTGACGACTCTGTTTGGCACAGTCATCCTTTTATTTTTATTTTTTTTTGAGCACTGTCTTGCTGGCACTATCAGATGCCCCAGGCTCATCCCATCTTTGTTTTGCACTAGCTGTAGACTCCACCGTTTCTCCAAGGAGCCGTCAAGATCTTTTGAGTCCAGATGTATGATTCTTGGCATGATCCACCCTTTTGACACTAAGGAAGGGAATACTCTGTCTCATGAATAAGAAGATCAAACCATTTTTCTAATTCGAGTTGTTGGTCTTCTTGTCTCGATATTTTAGATACCACTATATTTCTTTACACGTTTGAAATTTCATTTTGTTTGTGTTTAGTCACAAGAACAAAATGTTTTCACTAGGAAGTTAGCTGCTGACTGAATATATGAGTCGGTTTTATGGAGTAGAAAATGTTCATTATAAGTCGTATTGAGAGGGTGAGTTTGGTATTGGCCAAAGAAAGTACTAGTGTACTTTGTATTTTCCATGAATGTTAACCTTTTAGCTTAGTTCATTGTCAAGATCTATGTAAATAAGCCTTAGAATTTTGATAAGTAGTGGAAGGAATGATTCTTTTTATAACACTAATACCTTTTTAAGTTTCGCTTTTATAATTTTATTTTAATGTTTATTTTTGAGAGAGAGACAGAGCACGAGTGGGGGAGGGGCAAAGAGAGAGAGGGCAACACAGAATCCAAAGTGGGCTCCAGACTCTGAGCTGTCAGCACAGAGCCCCGACACAGGGCTCGAACCCACAATCCTTGAAATCATGACCTGAGCCAAAATCAAACACTTAACCGACTGAGGCACCCAGGCGCCCCAGCTTTTATAATTTTAGGATGTAGAAACATATAGCTTTGATTTAAAATAGCTGTGATCAAAGAATTGTTCAGCAGTTTGGGGTAGAGGAAATAGCATTTTCCTTGGAGTCAAGAGACATGTGTTTTTTTTTTTTTTTTTTTTTTT